ACAAAACAAAAAAGTAAAATAAAACCACCGTCACAACTACCGCCCCTCCTCCTCCTATAACTCCAATTGTATGGGCAAAAAAATACATCGCAACATCGCTAATATTAAAAGAACTTTACGACAGCTAAAACTATTTTGATGTAGTTGTCTCAAGGTTTTACATTTTCTACCCAGTTTTTGCAGACGACATAATTTAATGGAAAATAATCGAAAGCAGAAAGAAAAATTCATGTCATTCATTCAGCTAATTATTTGTAGTTTTGGCATATTTTAAAAAAGATTCAACTTTTTGGTTTTTTAAGAATTTACCTTCTTAGGATTTCAAGTGAGAAAATATTGTAGTTATAATCTTCACGCAAATCAGGTAAGTGAAGCAAATCTAGCAATATCTTTATCTTTATTGTCTATGTTCTAATACACACACACACACACCGCACAAGCACACACACACACACACACGCACACACACGCATACACACACACGCACACATTCCCTTACGTACTCTAAAATATATTAAATATTTTTAGATTTAAATTTAAAAAGATATGTTTCCATATAGAGTTATTTCTCTCTATCCCCGACAATGAACTTGATCCTAACAACTGGTTAGTACATAAATTGCACACTGTAATTTTGGTGCTACATTATCAATTTTTAAAGACATGTTTTCAGTTTGACTTAAGTACATAAAAAGAAAACGTGTATATATAGAAAACAAATATGGTATATGTTTAAACGTATTCGGACATTAAAGGCAGATAGATAGATAGATAGATAGATAGATAGATAGATAGATAGATAGATAGATGTGTGTATGTGTGCACAGAAATCAACGCTCTTTGGTGACTGTCAGTTTTCACGCCCAAGCGATATTCAAATCGCTATTGAGCACTTTTCTCTCATGGATATATCAAATTTTAAACAAATATAAAATAAATAAATATATATATATATATATATATATATATATATATATATATATATATATATATATATGACGTCGACATTTCTTTCATTTAACTACATTTAAGGATTTTTGTTTGTTTTTTTCAAAATTTCTTCATTCTGTCGGATTTATATCCATTTACACTTGCTTATATATATATATATATATATATATATGTGTGTGTGTGTGTGTGCGTGCGTGCGTGTGTGTGTGTGTGTGTGTGGAGAAACTGTGAAATGTTCTCGGTCCGACCCACTTCACGAAAAAAATCAATACACTGATGTCTGGTCATTGAAATACTGATTTTCGAAAGATGGTCGAGTCGAGAACTTTTGAACACTCTTTCGTATGTGTGCGTGCCAGCGAGCGAGCTCGTGCGCCCGTGTGTGTGTGTGTGTGTGTGTGCGTGTGTGTGCGTGCGTGCGCGCGTGTATAAAGGAATACAATCTTTATGTGTATGTGGCATATATGCATAAATGTGGTTGCACTTTAATATGTAAATATTTTCAATCCTGAAAGAGAGTCAAGTTGGGCAGATCAGTGTTTATGTTTCAGCATTTCGAAATCTTATTTCACATAACCACTTCTGCCACCCAGCTATCTCATTCACGACAGACAAACCAAACAATATGACTTTCATGTATGGAAATCTTTTAGAGAACCCAGACATCGCCTTCTGAAATTCCATCCATTATTTGAAAACTTTTATTTATTGTAATTAGGTAATCGATTTTGGGGCACTAAGTCATGCCAAACAAAAAAGATAAAAAGAAAATTGTTAGATTTCCAGTAAAATGACTACCAAATCGAACTTTTCAAGTTAAAAATTTGTCTTGATTTTGAAAATTTTAACTCCTTTTTCCCCTATACAAAATACCTCGAAAACAAATGAATTAAACTTATTTTATATAAAAGAATTGTTTTTAATCGATTGGTAAATATTTTAATTATATTCTGGAAAATTCTTGATTTGTACTCAATCGAAAATGTTCAAATTAAATCATTTAAACTTTTCTCGCTCTATTCAAAATCGTTTCAGTCCGTGAGACGTACAATGAACCAATATGTATAATTGTAAATCTCACTTCATTTTCCTGTGTATAAGGTCTTTATATACATATTCCAAAATACATACGTACAGTCTACTCTATAGTGAGATTCTTAAGTGAGTGTGTATGTGTGCGTTTACTTGTATATGTGTATGTAAGCCTTAATGTGTACGAAAGTAGATCAATAAATTCGTATCATGACACAAAGTTGTTGACTATTTTTATCGAAATGTATTATTTATGTGATCTATGGAAAAGCATTTGATTAAGTGCATTAACAAAGAAAATTATATTGAAAAATAAATATTTGCTATGTAAAATAAATTCTATTTTTTTTACATTATGAGGCTACAAACAACTTATCTTCGTACGTGCAATTCCCTTTGATGTTTCCAGTAATTTTTTCAATTTTCTCAATTTTGTTTTACCCCCAAATCCACTCAACCTCTCTGTGAGAGCTAATTCGAAATAATATTAACGTATATCTGTTACCGATATCTAGAAATCGTCATTGAAAATTCTATTTTCCTTCTTTTGTTACGGTTACAATCAAACTTAACGGGATTCAACAGGTGTTGCTGCCCCAAATGGAAACAAACTGTTTAGAATACAGAACTGGGTGTCATAAGATCCAAGGTTCAAATCACACTGCCACATTAGACTGAATTTCCCATCATAATCTAAAGCTGGAAAACGTGAGTTTAATTGATTTATGCGAACATCGTTAAAATCTCACAGACATTTGTGTTAATTTGCTGAAAATGCTTGATCATGTGATATTCAATACGCACATAAAGAGAGCGTTACTGCGCATCCGCTTATTTCCATGGCAAATATTCAGACGAACACCATTCTTTAGTTTTTCTCATTCAGACATTTACAGCTAAAACCCACCTAAGAACCGTTGTTTTGTGGAACAGACTACCGTATAGATATATCCCTGAACGATATAATCTCAAATCAAGGGCCAATCATTACCTACCCTACTAATAATCCCCACTTCCTACTCTTACATTCATATCACAAACTTCATTCAGTAACCCTCTACTTTGAGTGGCTCTTGAGCCTTGTATTGGGATGAACATTAGTAAAAAAAGTTTCATTTTTCTGTAGTTCGATATGTGTTATCTTCAATGCTTGAAAATATATATTTATTATTTCCATAATATCAGACTGCATGGGCACGTGACCGAGTGGTTAGAACGTTCGTTTTCTGACCATGAGATCAAGGTTCGAATCTCACTATGGTCTATTTGTCAGGAATGTCTTGTCTGTTGGAAAGTGCCTGAATACTTACCATGAGTTTATCCAAGCCTTGTGAGTGAAACTAGGTAGACGATTGTGTGCTGGTTGTACAAGTCATTATGACCAAGGGTTTGGACATACTAGCCTCGTTCAGACGGTTTATCACACCAGATAGGGCGCTCTCTCCCAGAATCTGTAACTAGAGTCTGCTCAGTATACTTGCAATATAAACCACAGGTGAGCTCTATGGGTGTTGAACAAACACACACGTGCCTGAGTTGGCGCTTGCAACAAGGATTGGCTAACCGTCCTAGTAGAGAAGAATCTAAGGATACAACCGGTTAGCCATTATATTATATTAGACTTTTTAATGATTGATATCTGATTAGTTCGGAAGGCAATCCATTTAGGTACAAGTACAGTCTGACGTAAAACCTACGACCGGAGGACCTCGCTGTCCCCGTCCCAGCTCGCTAGGTCATGACAGATGAACCACGGGTATAAAGGGAGGGACCAGTACTGCGCACACTGCACACCACCTAAAAACCCACTGCGCAGGCTCAAGGGACAGGTCCAAAGCGTTATAAGTACTCCCTCAAGAAGTCCCTCGGTACCTGTCACATTGACCATCGCCAGTGGTCGACACGTGCTGCTGAACATCAAGCCAGCCGCCGCACCATCCACCAGGCCATCTATGAGGACTCTCGCAGGGACAACTTGATGGAGAAACGCCGCTGGAGGAAGGACCAGGAAGTCTCATCAGCTATGCCAAACCAGACCATACCTTTAATTGCAATCACTGTGGCCAGACTTGCCTGTCCCATATCGGCCTAGTCGGCCATCAGCGTGCCTGCAGTCGGCGTGGACAGCCCACTTCATAAATCTTCGTTCGCTAAGCCAAGCAAAGAGTTCGGAACATTGGGTTTACAAATTCAAAAGCTTAATTCTAAAACCTCGACATCATTTGTTTTTTGACTTCCTCATTGTATGTTCATTGTGCGTAGTTTTAATGAAATCAAACCAGAGATAAAACTGCTTCGACTTTTTAATCTTTTGCAATCTTCGCTCTGATTATTTTTTTTTTCTTTTTGTTAACATTTTTTGTATCCATTTTTATTCAGAGTTTGCTAATGGTTTTACGGTTTGGGACACGAAAGTAATTCTTTAATGGATGTCAAATTTCTCTTCATCAAATTCAGTGAATTCTTTTCTTCTGTCGGATGGATGGATGGTTTCGTATGAATGAGACAAATGTTGACCATCAGTCTTTATTTCTTGAATTCATAAGTAGAAGATTTTATAACTTTGAAGTGATAAAGCTGAACTACACTCAAAAAGATATAGAGTTGCAAAGGCATGGATAACACTGTCAGAAATGCTATCTGGAATCAAAAATAAAAAACAAAAAACACTGTAAGTGCAACTGTAGAAAGAGTTCGCTAATACAAGTCAAGCAAAATCACTGGCAATAAAAACATTCGATTAATAGTCGAGAGCAGCACTAAAAGTCAACTGCCATTATGTCCAAAGTGGAACCTACTAATGATTACAGACGACATCTGTGAAAGGCTAATGAGGTTTAATTGGCATTGCTGGAGGAGTAAACAAGAAATTGTGCGTCAACTTTATACTATGAGATTCAGATTATGCAAAAAGATCAAAAGGTAGACATTGATCAACCCGTGAATGTCATCGGAATCAGAAAGGAAGACCTGGTTAGAAATATGGATGACAGAAATAGTTGGGAAGAAGTGACCACATGGAGACGATTAGATATCTATCTATCTATCTATCTATCTATCTATCTATCTATCTATCTATCTATCTAGATTTGCCCCCACATTCTGTGTCATTGATGACCATCTATACATTTACAGAATCAAACAGAAAGTGAGAAAAAATGCTCATCATTTACTCTGGTAAGCTTAGCTGAGTACAAGACTACAAGTATATGACATCAAGTAAGGATCGAATTTATTACTAATGGTAACCAGACTAGCTTTGTTACTCATTATCACGTGTCACTCAATAAGTCAGCCGATTTCTCTTCAACTCTTATGTTATCAATATTTCGTGTTAGCAATATTTTATCATAGTTTATCATTCCACTTATTTTGGGCTTTCATATCAATTTAGTGTGTCGTCGACGTGGATGAGAAGGTGAAAACATTCGCATACATGTCTTCATTTGGATAACTTCATAACAAAAAAAGTTGTCGAAGTGATTACAAGCGCAAAGAAAAGCACATACTGACTGTTGCCATTTTCACTAACAATGTAATTTCCTTTTTTTCTCAGTGAATTACAAATTTCGTTTCATTCTTTTTGTATACGAATGACAACTGGGAAGCATGTGGCTCTATCATAATCTTGTTTCTATATTACTATAATAAATAAAGGCATGCAAATTTCATGACGAGGGAAATTTGTCGATTCAAGTGAAGTATACGAGCCCCCAACAACGAAATACAAATTTTGAAACTTTTTTCTGGATTCCAATGCTGATGACAATTCTATTAAAAATAGCAAAAATTCTAAAAAAGCGCTCTGTCATTGTATAAGTCTTATTGATCACATGCATAAAATATAAGTACTTCCACCACCGGTCATCTGTAATTTGTATAACATGATAAAAGAAAATCCATGAGTGATTGTAACCATGCTTAATTCTCCTCCCTCATCGAATTTGGGTACAGTGACAATCGCCATTATCGCTGTTGTGATATTAAGAGGAATAGAAATCTAATTGTTGCCAGATATTTAAACAAAGTAAACGTCAGAATTTATATATTAATTTTATGTCATGATCCTCCTCAATTAATTGTATCAAAAGATAAATACATATTTATTACTGAATCGCTATTAATGACATGCATTGAGATCTTGTTCATTGTTTCAAAAATATTTTCTCAAAGCTGTGAGTGAAATCAAGATTTTTTTTCTATTGGCCTCAAATATAAACTTCTGGGACTATCGTAAAATAATAATTTGGATTCTCTCTCTCTCTCTCTCTCTCTCTCTCTATATATATATATATATATATATATATATATATATATATATATATATATATCCCCCTCTCTGTGTTCCAGTTACTTTTTCATATTTATGGTTTGATATTGAACAGACTAGTATCACTCTGTCTAACTGGCTCAAGAATACACATTTGTATCATTGACTCTCTTATCATTCCACCAATCAGCTATCTGCAAATAAAAAACAGTCATGGAAAGATGTTTTCTACATTCTGGTAATATCTTTTTTGGATGTTTTTTAAATGCAGTTTCAATGCATCGACTAGTTTCCGATTAATCATTACAAAGTATTGTTGTCAAACCCGAAATCAGTACATTCATTCACGTTTGTTCATTCGTGTAATGAACTTCTAGGATAATATATACGACTTCATGATCACTAACCTTACTTTTATAATGGAACGCAGCTCAGTGTCTCCCAGTGAAATGTGTTTAACTTGGGTCACTTTTCTAGCGTTCTTGGATGTCTGTTAAAAAGGCTGTATTTCGAATAATTCTGCCCATTGAATTTGATATTGATTTCTTCTTTATGTGGAACGCCCCATTGTTAATTCAACTTGTTTTTGGGGAACAATTTTATAATTCAATAACCGGATGGAGAATTATGAATAAAACTCTTTTGTTTTAGCTAATTTGTTACAACGGAGAACACATGTGCTTTTGTTCGTCATCATATGGACAAATAAATTTCTATTTGATCAAAAGATATTCACTCTCTCTCTCTCTCTCTCTCTCTCTATATATATATATATATATATATATATATATATATATATATATAAATTGGCATCGAATAGAGATCAAATATGGATTAGAATCCGACAGAATGATGGGATAAGAAACAAATGGGAAATGCTTATGAACATGCTTCGCTTTTATTAGGCTTCAACAGAAATGAATATGGATATTTTTGTGTGTGTTGTTTGTTTTCCATTGATTAAGTAGATTTCATACCTATTTGTCTTATCTGGTAGTGTTCGAGTGTATAATTCTTATGTCTTTGTGTATCATAATTTTAGTTCGTCTATGCGGGATTTGGTTGATAATTTGTGAGTGTGTGCACGTGTGCGTGCTTATGTGTGCGCGTATGTACATCTAGTAAGCATTTTATTTTTTCTCTTGCATTGTCCGTATGTTGATTGGAGATATTTTGTGAGGGAGTCAAAGAATTTAGGTTACATCAGTAGTAGCTGTGTGTAGTCTGATCTTAGATTCTTTATAAAAGTTGGTGAGATAGATAGACGGACGGACAGACAGACAGATGTAAAATATAATATAGTGTACGGGAAGTGCAAGGAGTAAAAAACACAGTACTCAATGTAATAGGAACATAGTTAAAATATATAAAAATGCGTATATCATGATTATTTATCGTTATATGCGACATAGTTTCGTGTATGTTCAATCATCAGGAATATAGTATCTACACAACAATATATGCCTTATGTCCAGTGCATAAAACTTTAAGTAGCATCTTACAGTAAAGAATAAGTATACACACACACACACACACACATATATATATATATATATATATTACGATAAATTATATTTAGTGGATACACATCTTTCAGTAGATATCTTTGTTTTTTTTTAACAGTGTAATTAATATCTACCGGCCTGTTTTTTTTTTCCAGATTCTTTAATAAGGTGTATATGCACTTTGGCAGAGTTTGAATTTGTTCTTATGATATATGGCCACCCACTATATATATATATATATATATATATATATATATATATATATATATATATATATCTTACTTATTATAAAACGCATATTGTGTGTGTGTGTGTGTGTGTGTGTGTGTGTGTGTGTGTGTGTGTGTGTGTGTGTGTGTGTGTGTGTGTGTGTACGTTTATATATTGGATCGGATTTCCTACATTTTTCAACCGATTTCAACAAAACTTCACAGGACTGCCTAAAAATACCTTGCGGTGGTTCTGACAGCGCCCAAAATTGGAAAAACATAATTGTTTTTGTACGAAATCAATTTGAAAACACGATTCTGTCGCCAGAATGAAAGGGGGACAACTCATACCGAGTTATACTTATTATAAAACCCAGGTTGTTTGTGTGTGTGTTCGTTTATATATGGGATCGAATTTCCTACATTTTTCAACCGATTTCAACAAAACTTCACTTTTTTTTGGCAGGTAGTGTTTCTTATTGTCTTGCACACTTTTTTCTTTATTTTTACATTCAGAATACTTTAAAAATTCCATTTACAAGACAATTGTTTATAATAAAATTCTCAATGTTTTTGTTTGAGTTTGGGTTTGACCAATTCGTAAAAAAAAGAAAAAACTAATTAAGACATGCGTGTCCGTCAACCTTAAACAATAATCTTTGTCAATTTTATTTTTCAGTATTTATGATGGTCAATACTTGATCTATCTCTTACTGTTACATCCCCAAGCAACGCCGGGCTCTACTGCTAGTATATATATATATATGTATATATATATATATATATATATATATATATATATATATATATATGTCTATGTATGTATGTATAGAGAGAGAGAGAGAGAGAAAGGTAGGGAAGAAAGTTTATGGACATAGGAATCAACAATGTATAAGGACTGTCAGTTTTACGTACATGCGCTCATCTTCGATATTGAGCAATCTGACCCATAAATATAGTAGATTTTAAACAAAATTTGTATATATATATGTGTGTGTGCGTGTAGCTTGACGTAAGGATAAAGCAACTTTTTGTGACAACTGAATGAGAATACTGTGTTATAAAGAAAAAAAAACCCAAAAGTAGACAATTCATTTTTTGCATCCATCAACGTCATCATCACTTATTCTGTTGTTGTAGATTGGGGGATCCGGGCACTGCTTTGTGACCCTCGCTGTTTTATCAACATTTGCTTTTTTTATATTTACATTTATCTACGTTACAAATTAAACTTAAGCACAACTGACTATTAAAGGGAAAAAAATCGCAGATTTTAAAGTCATTCTGGTGTCTTTTTTGTTTCATATTTGTAAATCCGTGAATTTGTTTTTGCTCATACTAAGTCTCAAGAAAACACGATATAAAATTCACTATTTTTCATTATCCATAATATTGAATGTATTAAAATTATTCAACTTTTAACAATAAAAATCTCAAGTTGATGTTAAAAATCGCAGCAAAATATTGTTGATTTATTTAAGATGGAATCATCTTTTATGACATGTCTCTAATTTGTGTTTAGATACATTGTATTTATTTTCAATTTTTCTAATTGAATTTTTCATCTTTATTGCATTTGATCAATTATTATACATAATTAAGTTACAAAAAAATTTAGATGTAGTAGAGTGGGGTTCGTATCATATATTGGGGTGGGCTCTATCATATATTGGGGTGGGCTCAATCATATATTGGGGTGGGCTCTATCATATACTGGGGTACCCACGAAAGCATTGCACCGGCTCTGTATATAGTACACATTTATATAATATACTAATAGGACGTCTAAACGTATGCGGTATCTAAGTATTTGAAAAAATATCTCTTTCAGAATCTTTACTAAATGTTACTTGGATAATTAACTATATTGAATTCATTGGTAGTTCAGCTGCTATGAATGTTGGTTCACTGTGTCGGGCTAGACAATTTTTCTTTCTAGAATCTATCTTATATATCTGTAAGTCTACCATTCGCCCATGCTTAGAATATTGCTGCCACACATGGTCCGGTACCCCTGTGAATTACATTGAGCTCCTTAATAAGATACAAAGAAGAATCTGCAATATTATTGCTCCTGATCTGTTGGCTTGGCTTCAGTCACTTTCCCACCACCATAAGGTTGCCTCCCTTTGCCTTTTCTATAAATACTTTCGTGGTAATTGTT